CAATAGAAAGTTCAGCTTAGCAGAACTGCACCTGGCAGATGTCTTAATTCAGTGGTCAAATCCAGACAAGGGTAGAAGGGTGCATGCTGTGCACCATTCTCAGAAAACTGCTCGTCATCTGTAGACTGCCTCATTCTCTTTCATGGCTTTGCCCAGAATGTCTGTATCCCTTCCGCTCATATTGTCCATTTGACAAATTCTTGTTTTTTTTAAAGATACAGTTCAAAAGTCACCTCCCCTAAGAAGCCTTTCTTGATAGTGGAAATCCTCTCTGTTCTCTATGGTACTCTGTAGTTCAGCACTTATCACATTATAGTGTACATGCTCCTTTTGCCTTGAGTTCACAAGGCAAATAAAAAAAATATTGAGCCCTATAATCAGAGTAGGAAAGAGTATGAAAATATGAACCTATTATCTTTAACTAAATTTTTAAATTACAATAGAAATAGTGAGTTTACTGTAAATAAAATGAAGTAAGGGTAAGTAAAATAGGAATTTCATCCTCTCCAGTTTCATTCCCCAGCGGTAATTGCTGATAATAATTTGGAGTATATTCTACTGAAGACAAAGATATAAATAAGCACATCATTTTTGGGGAAAAAAAAAGATTGAACTCAGTAAAAATTCTACCCTAGGTTTTTATCCCAAATGGGGAAAAATACTCATTAAGAAATAAATACCTTGCAAACACACACACACACACACACACACACACATCCTTGTTCATGTTGGTGTTCCTCTTGGAATTAGTCCTACATATTTTTCTCCCCCTTGATATAAAGAGATTTATAATTCCCTTGCATTTGGCTACCACGCATAGGAAAGCCTATGGTTAAGCTAGGAAGTATTGTTGGTAACTGACTTCCTACTTAGTCCTGTCTGGTGCTCCTTTTATATATTAGTTTTGTGTGGCTGCTGTAAAAAATTACCACAAACCCGGTGGCTTAAAACAACAGAAATTTATTGTCTCACAATTCTCAGGGCCCAGAAGATCAAAATTGGGTTGTTGGCAGGGCTGTGCTCCCTCCATAGGCTCTAGGGGAGATTCTGTTTTTGCCTCTTTCAGCTTTGGGAGTGGTTAGTATGACTTGGTGTTTCTTGGCCTGTGGCTGCATCCTTCCAGTCTCTGTCTCTCTGGTCACATTGCCTCCTCCTCTTCTGTCTGTTAGATCTCTGGGGTGTGTCTCTTACAAGGATACTTATCATTGAATTTAGCACCCTCACCCTACCATAATCCAGGATGATTTTATCTCAAGATTGTTAACTTAATTACATCTGCAAAGACCCTTTTTCCAAATAAGATAACAGTCACTGGTTCCAGGAATTAGGATGTGGACATGTCTTCTTGGGGAACACCGTTAAATACACTACATTTTAGTAATCAGGTAAGGAAAATGAAACAGAATTTTTAATAAACTGACAAATATGCATTGGTTAGGATGCTTTTAGTGACAAGCAAACTTAAAGTTGAAGCTTCCACTTAAGTACATAAGCAATAAAGCAATTTATCATCTCACATTAAAAGAATTCCAGAGGTGGGGCGGCGCTCAGGCTAGTTAATTTTGTGGCTCAACAATGTCATGAGAAGATCCAAGAATGTCACACCTTTTCTTCAGACTAGGTCCCTGTAAGTCATCTTAGAATATCACATCCTAACGACAATATCCAGAAGCAGAAAAAGGAACCCATTTCTTCCCATTGCCTCCTTTTTAACAGTGAGAAAACCTTTCCCAGAGCTCCGCCACTCATTCCAGTAGATTCCCTTCTCATATCATTGGCCTGACAAGATCCTATGTCCTGCCTAACCAGTGACTGGCAAAGAGGATGGGGTCTTCATGATGAGTCAGACCAATCCCTATTGAGGGGATGAGGACCACCTCTCCTGAAGCAGATGGCTGCGCAAGATCAGAGTTCTATCTGATAAAAGGAAGGAGGAAATGGCGGTTGGGCAGGCACTCAACAATGCCTGCTTCAGAATGAATAAGATTATGAAAAGAATATCGAATAGACATTTGCTATTATTACAAACAAAGCATCTGTGTAGATATGAATAGGTGCACCTTATATTTCTCTCTCTTCTTTAACACCATCCATGTAATTATAGGTTATATATAATGTTTTGCCAAGAACTTTTTGCTAGTGTCTGTTTTGTCTTACCATATCTCTATCTATAATTTTTAAAACAGTACATGATAAATTTTAAGATCACCTGGAATCCTAGCATTTTGGGGGATAGAGGCGGGTGGATTGCTTGAGCCCCAGAGTTCGAGTCCAGCCTAGGCAACATGGCAAAACCTCAACTCTACAAAATATACAAAAGTTAGCCAGGCATGGTGGTGTACCTGTATTCTACTCAGGAGGCTGCAGTGGGAGAATTGCTTGAGCCTGGGAGGGAGGCTGCAGTGAGCCCAGATTGTGCCACTGTACTCCAGCCTGCCTCAAAAAAAAGTCATATTTTGTTTATTTAAAGGAGTACAAATTTAGTGGTTTTATATTTATATTTATCATCTACTAGATGCAGGAGATTTAAATTTGCTCTAATTCATTTAATATATCAATGCTTGCAAAAGAAAAAGAATTTGTTTTCTGGTGAAGATAGTAATTTTTTAAAATCCAAAATATTAACAATAAGTAAGAAAATAGAAGCAACCAAGCTTCCTGAATAACCTTAGATAGAGCCACCTATCCACTCTGGACCACTTGAACATCTCTGGACTATATTGTAGGGAAGAAAGAAAAGTTTATCTTGTTTGAGCCACTGTATTTTAGAGCCTATTATAATGGCTTTTGGGAAAGGAGGTACAATTAGGGGGTCTGATTTTGTGATGAGAACCTGAAATTTAGAATTTTATATAAAATCTATAAGTCTTTAAAAGTATTCATTGTTAATTGAATATTATTTGAAGCTCTGTTTAGGTTAAAACAATATGTCAGTGGATTACCACTGTCCCTGTGGCATTGTCTCTTGTCTCTAACATCTCTTGGCTGTATGATTAGATGATTCTATGTTTGTGCCTTCTGTTTCCCTCTACTACAGGTGCAGTACTATTTTCAGGGAGGGAGAGAAAGAATCCCTGGCTAATATTTGAAAGGAGGGATGGAAGGTAAGATGCAGACTCTATGTCACTTATTTAGTACCTTGTAGAGAAACTAATTTATCAGATGAAACCACTACAAAGCACTCAGCTCCTGAAGGCAAGGTTATAGTAGATTATGGCATCTAGAACTATATCCACCAGTTAAAAGTCCACTGAGTGAATTAAATGAGTTAATACATGTAAGATCTTCACATTGCCTGGCAAATAGCAAATACACATTTAAGGTAGGATATTAGTATTATGGTGCTTGTCCAACATCACAGCTAGTTAGTGGAGTGACAGAGAGGCTTCCTAAAACTGACCTTCTGTGCTTCAACTTCAACTTGTTCACCCATTTTTCTTTGTCTTTTTGTTCTATATTCTTTGAGATTTCGTTGATTCTTCTATGTGACTAATTCTACCTTAGTCATGTTCATCATTGTATTCAGCTTTTTAAAGACTTTTTTTTTGTTTTGGCAATCTTATTTTTAATTTTCAAGAATTTTTCTAGTGGTCTGATAGCTCATTTTTTATGGCAGCCTATTCTTACATTATGGATGCAATATTCTATCTTTTTATGAGGACATCAATTAAAATTTTTTTAAAGTTCTCTTCAGTTTCTTGTGTTATTTTTATGTTTTCCAGGGTCATCTGTTCTGTTTGCTCACTCTGGTCCTTTTCCTTTCCGCTATTAGTTTTCCTCAAATATTCTGCATTGGTCATTCATATTTATGGGTAAAAATCTAGTTTGATTAGTATAGGGAGTTAGCATGATTTTCCTCTGCAGCTACATGGGTCTTTTTCCCCAGCAGGCTTTTCCTAAGGGTTTCCTAAGCTTTGTGTAAGCACACTGGTTGTGTTGACAAACTTGACTTTTGGGTTTATGGATAGAGAACAGATAGGCAACCTGAAGACATTCTCCAATTATTATTTTCTCTCCTCATCCCTCCCCATGGGGAAGGGGGAAAAGAGAGGTCTTAGGGCACTTCTGGCTCTTCTCTTTCTAGTTCCTCTTTAACAAACTTTCCCAGGCAGGTAACTCACATTCTTAATAAATAATTGTCAGGATTTATCCTACAGATAAACATGACTGTTTCACAGACATTTCTTTCATTAATATGCAATGATATGCATACTTATTGGCTCTGATCCTTTTCTTTTACTAGTTTATTCCACTCTTATTGTTCAGATCCTATCTCTTACTTCTAGTAAGTCCTTTTAATGATCCAATGATGGCACATACTTAAAGATAACTTTCTAAGGTATGTTCATCTATATTTTTTATCTCTCTGTATGACTTTTTATGTCATTTAAATGTACTTGGAAGTGTATGCTTAGCCTATTTTGATTAGTGTTTCCAATGAGTAATTTAAAAATATCTTTTCTCTATTGCCTTATTAAAACTTCTATTTAAGATTCAATTTCTCTTTTTAGTTTTATTTTAAGTGACACATGATATTGTATACATTGTATAATGATATCCAGGGTCATCTGTTTTGTTTGCTTATCCTGATATTAAAAACATTTTTTAATTTGAAAAGCTGACAATGAAGAAGTATATGTTTGCTGATGTAGCTGATATTTGTAATACATAGAAAAGGGAAGCAGAAAAACATTCATTAGTTTTGTCTAATTGTGCCAATAACACTTAATTATAGGTTTCAGAGGTCCTGGGAGAGCTTCAAGCTCTATTTGAGGAGCAATTTAAAGGGTTATAAGTGGAGGGTTGATTCTTTCTTGATTTATTCACCACCACTTTCATACTAAATCTTTTGTACCCTCTCTCCCAAATTATTATGTTGAAATCCTAATCTCCAATGTGATAGTATTAGGAGGCAATTCTTTGGGAGGTAATTAGGCCATGTGGGTGGAGCCCTCATAAATGGGGTTTGTGCCTTTACAGGGGACAGAGAGTTCTCTCACCTTCTCTGCCATGTGAGAATATTAGAAGATAGCAGTGTGCAGTCCGGAAGAAGGTCTTCACCAGAACCTGATCATGCTCGTGCCTTGATTTTGCACTTCCCAGCCTCCATAGCTGAAAGAAATAAATTTCTGTTGTTTATAAGCCACCTTGTCTATTTTAATCTTCTATAGCAGCCTAAATTGGGAAAGACACAACCCAAACTGGACCACTAAAGCCATGAAAAGGATCCTATATTCTGACCCTTCCAGCTTCTCCAAACTCAGTCTCTCTGGGTCCTCACTGAGCAATGAGGGAGGACTTTGATGGCCATGCTACTGATACAACTGTTCAAGGAGCTTTCTTACGGTCCTAGGATTTCCCACCTGCAGCTCATTAGGTACTGTTGTTGTTTGAAGCCAAAGATCAATATCTAAGCTACAACACCTGATCCTCCATGCCCGTTGCAAATGCCAGGAAGAGAAAAGGGGTGTGTGTGTGTGTGCGTGTGTGCGCACGCGTGTGCGTGCGCGCACTAATATACAGTATCTATGGGCTAGGATGCAAGCAGTTTTAGTTCAACAGTAAGAAGTTAGGGAATCTAAAGCGCTCATAGCCATGTTTTTCTTCAGTGGCCCATCATGGAGCTGAATTTGGATTAAAAACTCTCTTCCACCCTTGAAAAGGCAACTTGTTAAACGCTAAATCTTTTGTACCCTCTCTCCCAAATTATAATGTTGAAATCCTAATCTCCAATGTGATAGTATTAGGACGCAATCCTTTGGGAGGTAATCAGGCCATGTGGGTGAAGCCCTCATAAATGGGATTTGTGTCTTTATAAAAGGGACTTCAGAGAGTTCTCTCACCTTCTCTGCCATGTGAGAATATTAGAAGATAGCAGCGTGCAGTCCGGAAGAAGGTCTTCACCAGAACCTGATCATGCTCGTGCCTTGATTTTGCACTTCCCAGCCTCCATAGCTGTAAGAAAGAAATTTCTGTTGTTTATAAGTCACCTTGTCTATTTTAATCTTCTATAGCAGCCTAAACTGGGTAGGACACAACCCAATTTTATTTTAGAAGTAGAACTGATAAAGTACTAATAAAATTAGAAGAAGGATGTAGAAAAGAACAGCTATACAGTTGAGAAAGAAGAAGTAAAATGACTGTTTGCTTTTCTTTAAATGAGTGCATCATCCTCCCATAAGGTCCAGCCTTCTTCCTCTGTCATAGAGGTCTCTGAACTTGATGGTCATGCACCCCTGTCAACAACAAATGCTTCAGAATATACCCCAATGTGGGTTTGTTTGTTTGTATGTTTATAAATCATATTCATGTAGTAGTGCCACACTAATACATTATGAATGTTAACATTTCAAAAGATTTTTGTGTGTGCATTGTATATTCTAAAAAGTAAAAAATTAGAAAAAAAGAGTATCTGTACACATTCTGATATATCTAGCACATTGTTCCTTGTACCCTTTCAATCAGATTCATTAAGAGTAATTATAGTGCTTTATCACAAAAATTGTAAAAATATGCAAAAGTAGACATGAAAGCATTATAAATCCCCATGCACTCATGACTCAGTTTTAATAACTGTTTATGGCCAATCTTATTTCATCTCTACCTCCCCAAATCTCACTCTCCTATGTTATTTTGAAGCAAATCTCAGATATAGAATAATTTTATTTTTAATACATCAAAATTACGTTATAGTCCACCTAATTAACATAAAAGAAAATGAATGAAAGAAAAAAATGCAAAGAAAAGGGGAAAGAAGGAAGGAAGAAAAGAAAGAGGCAAATAACCAATAAACCAACTAAAAAGGAAAGAAGAAATCATAAGGGAGTGAGAAACATAGTTTGCTATAATTTTATTCCTGTACATGCCAATTTAAATGAAGTAGCAAAATTTTGATTTGGTGCAAGCTAATTTGCTTTATTTGGAAACTGATCCCAGTTAGTACATATTTACCTTCAAAGAGTTAAGTTGTGCTGCAAACTCGTTGATTCCAATGCCTATGGGCTTCAAACACTTCTAGATGGAATTCAGACTCTGGGATCATTTGGTCCTACCTGGAGGGTGGTCATTATAGAACCAAAACCACCTTATTTTGGGTTTCCTTGTCACTAAAACAAACACATAAAATAAAATCTGGCATTTTTCTGACCTATGGTTTTATTTTGTTTTGTTTTTCACTGTAGCTAAAAGACTTCAATAATGATAGAAAAATGTAAAACTTCAGAAGATTAAATACCAGTACATAGCAGTGATCACATTTCACTTATAGGAGGATAATCAAATAACTTTCCTCCAACCTCAGATACAGACAATCATCTTCTAAGCTCACAAATACAGGACCCATTCTTGTGGGCGCTGGATGAAAAGACAGGTTTATCTTGTCCCAAGGCCAAGGCTATTTTAATATTAACTGACCTTGGACTCTACCAACCTCCAGAGGGAGCCCTGTGGCAGCCAAATCTAAGGCTCAGCAGTAAAAGGGCCCAAATTAGTTTGAAGTGCCAATGCAATGTTTATGTAGTGAGGCAATATTTATGATAAACACGACCCAAATGTTGGTATTCAATGGGTTAAAGATCAATTGTAGCAATTTCAGGCTAGAGAGCATCTTTGATAAGTAAGCAGTTTGGTGCTATGACAGTGTAGTCTCTTGAATCCACGGACAGGAGCAAGTAATCAAGTGAAACGATCTCTACCATTATTTGTATTTCCTATGTTTTTACAGATGGCAATTATGGGAATCCAGCCAACTGTGCCACCTGGGAAACTCTATGAGCTAAACACTGTAGTACATTGGGGTAGTAACATGGCTCTGAATAGCCACAAAAGCCTACCTTTGTGGAGGCTTTACAATATACACCATACGTAAGCCACTGTGAGATCATGAAACTCAACATTCTCATCTACAATATCTCTGATTGTGTATTAAGGAAGAGTAATCTGGAAAAAAAAAAAAAAAAAACAACCACTGCTTGATATAAAGGAGGAAGGGATCTTTTTTTTAAAATCAACAGAAAATCTAAAATCTTAACACTAATTCATCAGCCTTCAACTATAATGATCATTTAAAAATTCCTGTAGTACTTTGGGGATCATAGTGAGGCTAATCCCAGGGGCTCACAGTTTTCATGTTTGCATTCTGTTAGGGGTCTTTAAACTTATTCTCTAAGAATGAGAGTGATAAATTCAGTAATATTGCTTTTTATTTACATAACATCTATCATTCCAAGCAGTCTAAAGGCATTCAAAAAATGGATATACTTGCAGACTAGACATCATAAATGCTTTTGAAACATGGCAGGTTATTAACTAAACAAGTAACTCACTTGTGGACTAATTTTAAATGCATGTGTCCCTGCTCTTTGAATATGGTTCAACTGAGAAAAGAAAACCCTCCTGTAAACCTAATACCATTTAGCTTATTCAACCACACACTATGCTTTTTAAGGTACAAATTCTGACAATAAAGTATCAATTTTTTGAAGTATCCACCCCCAAAGTGCCAGCTGATATGATTGATTATCTGTGATGCACCATTTCACTCTACTCTTCCAGAAGTACAAAGACATAGGTTAAGCAGAGAAGATATGGCAGATGAGGAAAAACCCAGGAAAAGGAAACCAGTGCTGTCCTTTTGGGGGGATCACAGAGACTTGATAAGGGAAGAAGTTTGGCCTTTATAGGATTCAAATTCATTTTTAATCAATTGTAAGTAAAAATGCCAAAGATGACGCACCTGTTTCTTGACCCAGCCGGACTTCTGCAATCTGATTTCTTGTTTTCATTTACAAGCAAGGAAAAAAAAAAAAAAAAGGTACAATATGCCCATTGTGAAATAATTTGGTGATGTTTCTGGAAAGTAAGTGGGGAAAGGGGGAAGCAAAGTAGTCCCCCATCCCACTTCAGCTGACACAACTGAGGTTTTCTTATGTACTCCTGTAACAGGCTGCTTTCCACCATGCTGGATGATTTCCAGTGGAAACTGGTAAATCAACCCAGAGACTCCTTCAAGAACAGCAGTGGAACTTAACAAGCAGTGTAAGAACTCAGGATTCCCTTGATTCGGCTAATCCATCACAAGGCCACTACCCAGGACTGCCTTGTTGATGCACAAAAGAGGAACTAGTAGCAGTCCTTTGTATCCTCCCTGTCCCTTTACGTTGTGGCACTTGATGTGACTGTTTAAGGAGTGTTTGGTTTCTTTGGCCCTTAAGAAAGATATAATGAATGAAATACTGGAACAAACCAGCTCTGTTTAAGCAAGTAATGCTTGTTTATTTAGACTAGAGGACTTATAAAAATATATAGATCCCAGATGCCACCTTAGACATCAGACTGTGCAGTTGGGGCTCAGGAATCTACATCTTTACAACATTGCCCAGGTAATTATGATTCTTAGCTAAGTTTGAAAACTGGGGGACTAGATTTTCAAATATACCCCTGAATCCTACCCAGATTTTAGTTTTAAATCTATTTCTTTCTCCTTAGGCTCTAATGAGAGACAAAGTAGGATACTCCTCCCTTTCCCAGGCCTTTATATCCACAGAATGAGTGTTGAATAATTTATCCCATTGCTTACCAAACATTTGTTTCATATGCCAAATAAAGACACAAACCCAGAGATGTTAAGTGCCTGGGTTAAGGTTGCACCGTACGTGAATGAGAACACCATGGCAAGAAAGCTGGATATCTTAGCCTCCACGGCCAGATGACCACTCCTTTTCTTCTCTTTTTTTCCCAAGTAAGAAAAATGGGGGCATCTAGGGGGCTTCCTCGAAAAATCAGATATAAATTAGGGTAAGTGTAGATATTCATCTCCAGGCAATATCTCTCTGAGATGAAGACTTAAGAAACATATCAACCAAATACAAACGTGTAGACCTTTGGGTCCCAATTTGCAAAAAATGTGAAGATAAAAAAGTTTATGAGACAATCAGGAAAATAAGAACACTGTGTGGATACTTAATGACATTAAACAATCATATTTAATTGTTATGTGCATGACTATCTTATTATGGTTATCTATTTTTAAATCCTCACATTTTAGAAATATATACTGAAATATTTATTAATGCAATAATGTCTGGATGCTTCAGCTCCAGTGGTGTAATAAGGGGGAGAACAGCTGTGATGGAACACATAGTTTTGAGACATGATTGTCTGAGTTGATAATACTGAATCCAAGTGATGAGTATGCAGGGCTTATTGTGCTATTCTCTCCTATTCACGTATTTTTAAATTTTTTCATCATAAAACATTTTAAATGTATTTCGCAAAAGGGCTGGCTTACAGTTTTGTAGGTTATTTAACTCACATGTATAATAATATGCTTATTAGTGAGGTACATAACTTGATAAAATAACAATAACTTTACATATTCAGGAAAAGTCACCTTGGCTTTCCACCATGGCTTTTGTGGAAGATGAGATGAATAGCAGACATTTAAAGTAGAAACTATGACTCTCCAATAATTTCAAGACTCTCTTTCAAAGGAGCAAAACACTTCTGTCATCTGTTACACTATGATGAGCCTAAAACTGCAGTAGATAGTCTACTGAAACAATTAAAGCATTCAAGAATTGTAAAAGATCAATCACCTATTTCATACAAATTTTCATAAACCAGACTATACTCGGGGAACTGTTTATTGCCTCAAAATAAAATGAGGGCAGCCACCCAGATCTGGTTAGGAGGTAAATTCATTACAGTGTTAAGTTTAACACCAATTTCCAAATGCACATAAGAAGCTGCAAAGTTCAGACTTTGAGGCTAAACAGCTCTGCCTTTCTCTTTAGTCCTGCCCACTACTTTCTTTCTGAATCTATGAAGAGCTGTGACTCTTGAAGGGCAGGACCTACCAGCATTCTTTATGACTTCAGTCATGGCAAGCTCTCAAGTTAAATTAAAGGTGTTTGGGGTTTATGTTTTTAAACAGTAATGAAATAGCCAACAAGTAAAACTGGAAATAACTTTCTCCTATGACCTAGAAATAGCAATAGGAACTCTAAGTGGGAAACAGAAATAGGACTCTGGAAAGATAATGTTTTATGTGTTTATTTTTCTTCCAGAACTCCAAATAGTTGCCTTGGCAGGAAGGCTGCCCTCTAACTGCTCCCTTCCGAAGACTAGGAGGTGTTTACAGAAATTGAAAGTTCCAGCAGTACATTTCCATGAGCTCATTACCAGTTCCATTTATACCTTTTAGATTTCACATGTACAAATGAATGTCCTTGCAGTATAAACTCCTGCTTTCAGCTTGCATTTTAATTACAAACAAAGTAGCAGAAATCAGGTACTCAGTTACTGTAACATAATGGCAGGGCATCTTTAGAATCTGTGTAGAATCTGTGCTTTGGTCACTATTATTCAAAGCAGCTCCAATGCCCGTCTTGCCTGCCTCTTTATGCTAATCATCCTAGTCCACTTTGCTCCTCCTCCTTCCAGCCTCCCTTAAAGAACTGTGCACTTTCAGCTGTCACCGAGGGTAACTCAGATTAGGCTTAGAAATCACTTGACTTAACTCAGCAGCACTTTTTTTTTTCTTTGTGTATGTATTACTTTAGCAGTCTTCTTTAAATACCGGAGGCATTGGATTTCATGTCGGTAAAAGGAATTTAAAAATGCCAAAACTGTAATCTATTAGAAATAGTTAATTTGTAGAATTTTACTCTATAAGGGGGTTTAGTTTCAATTCATTTTGAAATGAAAGAATAATTAAGTTGTATTTTTAGCCAAATGAATTGGCATCTTTAGGAGAAGTAACATTGGTCATTATTTATTTCAAGAATCATGACTGGAAAAAGCTTGGAAGTTTAGTAGAGGAGTATATGTTGTACATGCAAAGACAAGATCTGCATGAATCTATGTATTTCTGGGTGTCTGGTGAAGGCCATTTTAGGTGACTGGCCAAGAGAAGGAGTGCCCTAGTGATCCTTGAGTCACAGCCATACTGCTAGGACCATGACTACCATACCAAGAAAAGGCAGCAGCCACCTGCTTGGCAGTTTGCACACTTGTCAACTGAAGCTGCAGGAGGACCGGCAACAGCAAGGTAAGTCAGTCCAGCTCATGAGTTGCATGTTCTGTGACCTTCTGTGCATTTACATTCCCAGAAGAATGGTGGGCTGGTGAAGGACCCAGGGAAGCTCTGACATAATAGTGATGCATAAGGGTGGGTTAACTTGGATTCACCATTGATTTTTAAAGGACTATGGAAGACTGTCAAGAATGCATATTCCTTGGAGCTGTCATTCAGAAACTTATATTCTTAAACTTCTAGCCACTGTCAGTTTTTTAGAGTATGAGAGATTTTGTCTAATTCAAAACACCCATCTGGGCAAGGCTGAGTCAGCTACAAGGGGGATTCAGCTGAGAGTAGCTTTAAGTTAGCCTGGAGCTTTCTCTACGATCCTACCACTACTGGGACACTTTTTTCACTTTGTTTAAGCCTAATTTTGTCTGGATCTCTGGCTCATTCATTGTGGGAAAAACAAACATATTCTTGACTCTTTCCTTTTTATGGTCTAGGGACAGCTGGATACAGTCAGGGAAAAGTGTCACGTTTCACTCGCTGGGCACTCATTCAAACTAAACTATCTACCTCCCAGCCATTTTCATCATCAGTCTTTTTAAATTTTCAAATCCATTCCCCAGCCAGCTGAGTTAGTTCAAATGGTTGACATGAATAGACAAGATGATCCCTCCAATTCACTCTGACAGGGACAGCAAATGACACTTGTGGGAAAGGCTGGGTCTCTTATGGATGACATCATCACTCCACAGAGGTTAAGGATTCACCAGACACTTC